AAACGTATTGGCTGCCGTTGGCGGCGGTGATTGGCGGAAAGAGGCGGAAATCATTGTAGAGATGATATGAATTTTGTTGGAGGATGTTTAATTTTGAAATGAATAATGTGAAATATGGAAAGCGGTGATATATAGATCTGTGACGGATGTAATAAGTGGACAAAGGAGTATAACTGCACTGCACTCATTTCGGCTCAATCCGTTGAACCAATCTTTAAAATAATACTATAATATACGTATTTTGAGTTTAAGTTTTTATGCAATTATGATGTAACAAATATTTTTTATACAATTAAATTAACTCAAATATAGTTGCAGTAGCTTTATACAGTAGCATTGGTAACCTAAAATAAATATCACTCCTTCCGTTTTAAATTAGATGATATAATTTCCTTCTTAGTCTATTCCAAAATAAATAACACATTCAGCTTCAAACTCTTCATTTTATTTATTTTACCCTTAATGAGAAGTTTTTATAACCACAACAATGTCATGGCCCCACAAAGCTTTTATCCTTTTAAACTTTTAAAATCACAAGTTTCAAAAGTTTTATTTTTTCCTTAAATTCCCTGCCGAATCACACTACCTCATATAAATTGAAACAGAGAAAGTAGTAGTTAGTAACCTATTATGGTAAGTAATAACATTATTTGCAGTAATGTAATAATTATTTATACTTTGATACTATAAATTTTTTATTACGCTATCAGTATATCTAGCTTAAATCTACTTAATTTATACAAATTATACCTTATAGAAGAAGTTTTATGGACTACCAGGGTGTCAATAAATACTTACCTGCGATATTTATATTTAACTGAACAATAAAATTAGGGTCATTTTAACGGAAAAGGCTTATTCGCATTTTTTTTTTTTAAAGTTTCAGTACTTTTTTTTATATAAATTTTAATAGTTAATAGTAATTTATAATATTTAATACTTATCAATTACTCTTTAGTGAACTCGCAATTTTGGATAGTAAATACCACATTTATCTAAAACAAAATTTTGTTTCTATTTATAGGGAGAAAAGGAAAAAAATAAAAACAGAAAAAAAAAACAGTTGGAGTGGAGACTTTGGGGAGTCGGATGCCATGTTAAGAGCATAAATTTTGTAGGGAATGCTTATCCAATCACACTAGCCCTTACATCTTTTTCTTCTTTTATTCAGTCACTCTATCCAGTTATTATTTGGTGAGTCAGCAAAGATCTTTCCTTATCAATTTTTTTTTTTTTTTTTTTTTTTTTTTTTAATAATGTCATATCTGCTTATCCATTCATCAATGAGGGAGATGTCGGTATAGTCGTTGCTGCCTCACTAATCGATAACACAATTTTCTCTATTTTTAAAATAATCTTATACACTATATAGACAATTTACCTATGAGGATCCGAATCATAATATTAGTCAAATGAGTATTAACAAGTTCTTTGCTTTGTTTAAGCGACTGTACATAGATTACTGCTTTGATTGAATATTAAACCGTTTTTCTTAAGGTCATATTTCTCTATAATAACATCTTTATATAACAGTCATTCACTACAAAAGCTAAATTTTTCTCGAAATCGACTTTTTAAGTTATATGTTATCCTCTCTATAACAGTTTTTTTTACCTATAACAATAGCAACGATATTTATAGTAGAACGCTTTTTGTAAAGTATCCCTATGTAATAGCCATATAGAATCTTTAAAATTACTAATAATAATTTTAAAAATTTGCACACAATCTTTTCCAATGAACAAAGTTTTCATCTTGTATATTACATAAGATTTGAAGATTTGCACATGATATTTTTTTCATTGGACAAATGTTAAAAAATATTTCGCTAGAAAATTCAACTGTTAAGCTCTTAGATTGTCTTCATGGGAAAGCTATCAGTTATCCTTTTACTGAAAGTTTGGATACATACCTTAGTCAATTCAATCATTATATCGCTAATATAAGGAATGGAGTCTTCGAAACAAGCTAGAACTATAAAGTTCTTCCATCAATCTTAAAAGAATTCATTTTTCTAGTAGCTTTAAAATGTGTGCCTTTGAGTTTAAATCTGTGTACCTTTAGTTATGAATTTATTACTAGTATATTGGCTTGATCTAATATTCAATTAGTGCAATATGCATATCTTTTACAACAACAACAACCAGTATAATCCTACTAGTGTGGTTTGGGGAGGATAGTGTGTACGCTGACCTTACCCCTGCCCTAGGGTAGAGAGGTTGTCTCGGATAGACCCTCGGCATCCCTCCCTCCAAGAACTCCCCACCTTGCTCTTGGGGTGACTCGAACTCACAACCTCTTGGTTGGAAGTGAAGGGTGCTCACCACTAGAGCAACCCACTCTTGTCAATATGCATATCTTTTGATATTTTAAATTTGAACAATTCTTTTATCTTTTATATGTAACATTAAAAGAGAAAAAAAAATTGAATAATTTTTGTCTATAACAGCCAAAAAATATTTAAACATCAAATGTTGTTGTAGATGTATAACAGTTATTCACTTATATGTGACTTTTATCTACATCATATGAATTGCACATATAAGCGTCACTAGTAAAAAAGAAACTAGGGTTTTTCAGGATTTGGCTATATAATGCTAATTTTTTGGAACTACCTTTGCCAAATCTATATAAGGCTAAAATATTACCAATTCTCTTATATGTTGTCATACCATGCTACACCCCTAAGGCAGAGACTTGAATTTAATTTACCGTGACTTATGAGTTCACAGGCGAAGCCAAAGCGAAACTAACTTATCAACGTAAGTTCATTTGATAACTCTGAACGTGAACTCCCAGTTCTTCGAAACAGCAAAAACAATCCCCCCACCGCCAAAACCACCTGATATCACACATGAGAATACCACTAATCACGGCGTGGAAGACAAAGCGTCTTTCAAAGAAAAGCTACTAGCCTCAAACCGAATGAACTTTACAAATTCCTTAACCCTATCCCAAAATTCAATAGACGAAATGTTCCCAGAAGATGGATTGCAAGAGTATTTAATACAACTCAATACATGGGAAATTAAAGTAATAGCTCTAACCGAGGAAGACAAGCAGAGAATTTATGAACCTTGGAAATTCTCATTAATTGTTAAGCTATTTGGAAAACGAATGCTACATCACTACCTAAAAAAAAAGATCCAAGAATTGTGCCATCCCTCGGAAAACTTCCCACTAATTGATTTAGGGGATGATTACTACATCATCAAGTTTACTAAGAAAGAAAATATGGAGAAGGCCCTCATCCATGGACCATGGTTTATCAACGGTCACTATTTATCAATCACAAAATGGAGACCAAACTTCGTAGCAAACAAAGAAAAATTAACAGCTTCGACAGTTTGGATCAGACTACCACAACTGCCAGCGGAGTTTTATGATGGAAAACTACTTGGAAAAATTGGAAATGCCATAGGGCGATTATTAAAAATAGATGTTTGCACTTCTACCACAGTCAGAGGCCGCTATGCTAGGCTCTTTGTTGAGCTTCCGCTGGAATCTCCTATCCAACCTTACATCTACATAGGTCAACATAAGCAGTCTATATACTACGAAGGTGAGAAATTTTTATGTAAAAATTGTGAACGGTTGGGCCATATCCAAACTCAATGTAATTACATCCAGAAGGAAGCTATGGACAAAACATCCCAAGCCAAAGATCAAACATCCAAAGCCAAGGATCAAACAATCAAGAACTTGGAAGAAGAAATAGGGGAGTGGAAGACAGTGTCTTTCAACAAAGGAAGGAAGCATGATTCAAAGAGCAATCAAAGAACCTCTTCAAATCCAACGGATAATAGTACAAACTCAGGTATCACGGTAAAATTGTTCAATGCAACCACTAGTAAGTACTTAGATACTCAAGTCTTACAATATAAATCAAAAAATCCTGTTGAGATGCAAGATTTTCACATCGAAAAGGCTACAAAAAACCTACCCATGGAAAATACCACCATCCAAACTCAAAACAACTTTTCTCTTTTAGAAGATGAGCAAATGGTTTTGTGTGAATCGCTGATTATGATAAAAAAAAAATAATTATAATAAAAAAGATTATTTAGCCAAAAATGATCTCTTGGAAATGTCTATGGACAGCATGGATACGTCCGACTTACACGTGGCATTGGAAAACCCTTCAGTCACTTATGCCATGCACGACACCCCCACAAATAACTTGATCAATAATAATATAAAAAATAATATAGACCCTACTACCGCTAATCCTAACCAATTAAATGGCCATTCCCTTACTAATCACCCTATAACTCAGATAACTACTACTAACCTACCTCGTTTAGAATTAGACCATCAAACACTTAAGCATGCCTTACAAATGGCAAACCCAACTCCAAAAATTGAACAAATGGCACCTCGACTCATGAACACAAACCATGCAAGATATGAAGAAGATCTAGTTAAATACAATACGCCATCCCAAACAAACAACATGCAAATTGAACTACCAATCATTAGTCCAATTACCAATACACTCTCTGGCAAACCAAAAGCCACGCCTGAAAAAAACTCTACAAAAACCCACTACCTTTCTCTGCAAAATGCCAAGAATCCCGTCCACTTTGAGAAGAAGACACAGATTAATCCAAATCTTGAGACACCACAGAGCCCAAAGTATGGAGAATCTATCCCATGTCACCCCACAGTTGGAGAATTCACAAGTAATCCTAGTACAACCTCCTCAAACCCAAGACTATCAACCACTTTCATGGATAGAAGTGGGACTGCTGGGCCATGCAGTATCTTTCAATGTCCAAATAAATGGACAGGAAGCAATTGTCATCCTCCACAACACACAATACCTAGCTCAGTTGATATCCGAGGGTGAGACTCGCAATGAACAACTACTTGAATCAGGTGTGGTTAAACAACATCTTACACCAGTGGCGGACCCAGGATTTTTATCAAGCGGGTTCAAAATGCAAAGAAGCAAATATACAAAGAGGTCAACAAAAACTATATATTAATAAAATATATTATTACAACTGTCCTCTACGAGTTTTCATTTTCTGAAACGTATTCATAATAGTCTCATCAGAAATGGTGTTAAATATATTTCTTTCTACATAAGGTACCAAACAACCGCTCATGAATTCGTCATTCATTCGGTTTCGCAATTCACTCTTGATCAATTTCATCGCCGAGAAAGTTCTTTCAACTGTAGCAGTGGCAACTTGTAGAAGCAAAGCAAATTTCACAAGGCGAAACACAAATTGATAATTCAAATGCTTCTTTGTCTTAACTAGTGTTTCAGAAAGATCAACAAGTGCTTGTAGATTTGAGAACCTTTCATCAAAATCACGAACATCAACAATATAAGTTTGAAGTTGATTCTTGAGCGTAACCATTATATTCTCATCAAAATTGTCAGGATACAATTCAGCCATCATCAATATCTTGTTTATGTCAAAACTGGAAAATGAATCAACTGGATTTAAGCAAGCTACTCCAACAAGCAAGTTCGTTGTCACCTCATTAAAACGAGCATTGAGTTCTTGAACTTGCCAATCAATAATCTTAAAAAATATATCAACACGAGAGTGATGTAAAATAGTATAATCAGCAACTTTACGTCGAGATCTTCCGGAGTTAACATAGAAGTCATCAAAGTTTGGTATCAAAATATTATACTTGACACAAAATGCAGACACCTTATCAATAAGTAAACCCCATTCTTCTTCTCTTAGCTTTTGCAACCGTTTCTTTGCCACTTCAACAAGTAGAATAGCATTTGCAATATCTTGCTCCTTTTTTTGTAAGGATGTATTAAGCTCATTTGTGATCTCCAAAACATCTCTCATTAGGTGCAACATGAAAGCAACCTCAAATGTTTGACATGTGCTAAGATATCCCTTTGCCTTAGCTCTTTCTTCTAAAGTTCGGGTATCAACAACGATAGTATCAAGAACACAATAATTGAGCCAAACATAGAAATAAAGTTCTTAAAAGATTTGTAGAGCGAACCCCAATGAGTATCAGCAGCTCTGGCAAGACCAAGTTCTTGATTCAAACCCCTACCAGTTTCAAGTTCACCCATGTCTAATGCCTCTTGAACTTTTTCTGCGTGAGATTCTCGAAGATTATCCATACGTTTGTAAGAACCTCCCACTATATTCAATACATTAGAAACCAACAATACAAGTTCTCCCACTTCAAGACACTTTTTGGATACCGCAACAAGAGTCAATTGAAGTTGGTGTGCAAAACAATGAATGCAATAAGCGGATTTACTTTCTTGTCGAATCAAAGTTTTGAGGCCACCTAAATCCCCTTGCATGTTGCTTGCTTCATCATAGCACTGTCCACATACATAAGATAAACTCAAAGAATGTTGAGCAAGGTAATCAACAATTGCTTTCTTTAAACATAAAGCACTAGTATTATGAACATGAACAATCCCAATAAAATGCTCCACCACAGATCCACATCTATTTACATATCGCAAGACAATAGCTAATTGCTCCTTGCGTGGTACATCACATGATTCATCAACTAGCAATGCAAAAAAGTCTCCATTTAGATTGTCCATGATTGCTTTAACTGTTTCAATTTTACATGCAATGATAATGTCTTTTTGAATTTTATGAGAGGTCAACTGATCATTCTTTGGAGCCTTTTTCAACACAAGATCACGAATTTTATCGCACCTCTCTGCATACCATGAAAGAATCTCAAGAAAATTACCCTTGTTTAATGATGATTCATCTTCACGATGTCCACGGAATGCCAATCCTTGATTCAATAGGAGTCTTAAAACCTCAATTGAAGCCTTCAAGCGAATTTTGTATTCGAGCTTGGTTTGACTAGATTGCCTATCAAATGATGTTTGAATTGACTGTTTTTGTTTTAATAGATCTTCACATTTCCTTTTTGCATGATTATGACTACTGCTCGACTTACCAACGTGCATATCGAATCTCTTCTTTTTTTGCCAACTCTTAAATCCTAAACTTGAAAATACATCGCCTCCACCTTGATGAATTTCTTCATCTTGAAACAAGTAACAACACAAACAATAAGCTGCATCTTCTATCACACTGTACTCCAACCAAATACCATATTCATCAAACCATTTATGATTGAAACGGCGCTTTAAGCCCGAAAAATCTCTTTGAGGAAACTTATGATGTCGGGGTTGGCAAGGACCTCTTCGGAGATATTCTCTTCTAATCTCATCACGCTCATTTGGATGATAATCTCTAATGGGTATTCTCTCCTTTGGATCAGTCGATAAAGAATCAAGATCTATTCCTTGTCTTTGTCTTTTAGAGGATTGAGGTTGCTCTTCTAATTGGTTCAAATTTTGTTCCACGGGAGTAGCAATTGGAGAGGATGAACTTGGTTGTGGCAACTTGGAAGATACTGGAGGGTAAAATCTCTTCATTGTAACACAAACTGGATTACCAAAGGTGAAACCCAATAGTGAGAATTTGTTATATCATATTCATCAGCTTAGACATACAATAATAGGTAAAATTTTAAATAGTAATCCTAATTTGATAGTCTAATAAAATGCAATCAAAAGAGAAAAAGTGAAAAGACTTTTTCTAATAATATGTTTCAACATTTCAACATAGTCTAATAATCTGAAAAAGGATTTCTCAAACTAGACTTTTTATACTTTCATTATACTCAAACTGAAATTATTTGCTAATAGACACGCATGTTGTGACACAGAAACACCCAATTAGGCAAATAGTATTATTTTGACAATCACCAAAATATTCCATAATTTTAACAAGTTTCATTAATTACACAATAAGATAACCCTCAAGAAGCTCTAATAGAAAACCTTAAGTCCCCAAGTGACGTGACAATCAACTTCTAAGAAAACCAAAGCCCCCCAAAAAAATGTAAAATAGTGCTAAATTAATTGTGTTTCTCACATTTCACTGTAACACTCAGTGAACTATCAACAATGTTCTTCTTCGGCTAATGGCTAATGGAGGAGACGACTATGAAGCAATGTTCTTTGAAATTGAACTACAACAGTCAACAAAGAGAAGAAAGCACATAGAGGTGAAGGAAACTTATTGGAATTAAATCTTTATGCAAAAGAGGAATAAATACTATAAATTGGAAAACTAGAATTGGTTCTTATTGATCACCTGAACTTTTAGTTAGATACCAAGATGAAGCCCTTTGTCTTTGAGGGAGATGACATTCTCGGCAGGGGCTAACGGAGGAGGCGATTCTCTTTGAAATTGAAGAGAGAGAGAGAGAGAGAGAGAGAGAGAGAGAGAGAGAGAATGAGAGAGAGAGGCATCGAGGTTTTAAGATTAGAGATTCTAATCTCTAATCTCAAAGATCATATGTGACTAGAGGGCAGAGGGGCTAACGACATCGTTTTTATGGAAAAAGTGACCTATTTAAAAAAAAAATAGAGGCCATATGTGACTAGCTGGTTTCGAACTCAGGACCATGTGGAAAATTTGAACCCTGTTTGGCTAGACGATTTACCTGTTTGAAGCGGGTTCAAAATTATATTTATACCTTTACTTTTCTGAAGACAGAAAAATATACCTATATACACAGTGTTATTTTTCGATGAAGCGGGTTCATATGAATCCTCTTGACTCCATGCGGGTCCGCCCCTGTCTTACACCCGTTGGCACCAACAATGAACCCTCATCTAATGCATGCAATGATGCACCAGTGGAACATGCCACCACAATTCAACCCCATGCAACCATTGAACCCACACGTAGATATGCCATTCTTCCCTCCGGAAACTCTCGCTCACCTAAACCCTATCTTCATGCCTTGGGAGAATCCTCCTCAGCCCCAAGTTCACCAAGCACCACCAGTGGAACAACAACCTCCAATGTTCCAACCCCAGATGATGCAAGAGCCAGAACAAGAAGAGGATCCACTGGAGGAAATAGGAGATCCCCTAATCCCAAGAATGGAACAAATCTTGGAGTTCTTAAGCATAAACGAGGTAAAAGTATTTCTCTTTATGGAGATGCAAGAGAAGAGGCATGTGCTCAATTACCCACTAGCACTATACAAGTGCTCAACGGACATCAGGCCTCCTCAAGACCCAACAGTGGGCAATCAAGCCATGATTCTAGTACCCTCACTCAGGAGGAACCCTGTATTCTTACAGGGAGGGAGGGAGAATGGGGAACCAGCAAACCTAGAACTGAACTTAGCCACGAATCGTCCAACTAACTTCATTATCTGCAACATTAGAGGAGGGAATAATGTTGAGTTTAGAAGAAATTTCAAAGAAATGGTAGATACTCACAGGCTATGCATGGTCACTCTCTTGGAAACTAAGATGGCTAACCATGCTCAAATGTTAGGCGACTTTGGTTTCTCAAAGATGATAGAGGTGTCTGCTGAAGGTCAAGTAGGAGGGATGGTAGTAATGTGGAACCACAATGTAGTCATTGTCCACAACTTTGTGCGCAGAAATCAGGAAATCCATGCAACAATTGAGGTGCTCCCTATCCGTAAATCTTGGCTTTTTTCTTCAATCTATGCTAGCACTGATAAGAACAATAGGAACAATATGTGGGATAATCTAGAAAATATCGATAAAAACTATAAAGGGCCATGGATGGTAGGTGGGGACCTAAATGATATAATGGGGTCAAATGAGAAATTTGGTGAAAGACCCATTAATAATAATAGAACAAATTTTCTTTGGTCAAAAATCAATAACTGTAATCTTATTGACATTGGTTATAAGGGGTGCAAATACACTTGTTCTAATCATAGAAAGCTTAATAAGCGCTAATAATGGAGAGATTAGACAAAATATTAGGAAATGAATGGTGGCTTGAAATATTCCCAAATTGCTCAGTAATTCATCTCCCAAAAACTTACTCTGACCATAACCCCCTATTAGTAGAATTAATCCCTAGAAGTAGAGTTGGCTATAAACAACCATTTAGACTAAGAGACTTTTTGGTGTAGACACGCAAACTTTCAAAATATTATTAACAAACATTGGAACGGTATGGAATACTGCAAAGCTAGTGAAAATTTTGTGACTAATATTAGGACTTGGAAGGAAAATACTTTTGGGGACTTAACTACAAAAAAAAAAAAAAAAAAATCTTAGCAAAGGCTCCAAGGGATCCAAAACTCTATAAATTACACAAATAGTGCTTTTTTACAACAATTAAAAATTAGCCTGAGAAAAGACTTTAATGATATCCTTAAGATAGAGGAAGACTACTGGAGATTGAGGTCTAGAGTAATGTGGCTAAATGAAGGTGATGCCAATACAAAATTTTTCCACATAACTGCATCCAGTAGGAAAAGAAAAAATAAAATTACTTACTTTAGGGATGAGGCTGGAAACTGGCTAAACGACCACAACTTGATCTTGTCTCATGTTTGCAACTACTTTAGGGATGCTTTCACTACTACACACACAAGCACCAATTGCAATGACATAAAAACCAGCCCATATAGTCATTATAATTATGATCTTGGTGCTCTTGATAACCCCTTAATGGATATTGAAATAACCAGAGCCATCTTTTCCTTCAAACCTTTTAAGGCTCCTGGACCAGACGGATTACATCCTTTCTTTTTCCAAAAATATTGGCATAGCATTAACAAATCAGTGAATAACTATTGCCATAAGGTATTCAACACACAACATATCCCCAGTGTCATCAATAAAACTTACCTTTGCCTAATTTCAAAATTTTCTAACGCAAACAACGTAAAATATTTTAGGCCAATAAGCCTCTGCAATACTATTTATAAAACTATTACTAAAATTCTAGCAAATCGCCTGAAACCCTTCCTAGAACATATCATTAGTCCCTTTCAGACTAGCTTTATGAAGCATAGAAGAGCGTCTAACAATGCGATTATTATTCAACAAATAATATCCAATTTTAAAAAATTAAAAGAAAAGCAAGGCCAAATGATTTTAAAAATAGATTTAGAAAAAGATTTCGATCAACTAGAATGGTCCTTCATATATCGAACTCTTAGATACTTCAAGTTCCCCCCAAAATTCACCAACCTCTTAATGAGCCGCATTACCACAAGTTCAATAGGGGTCCTAATAAATGGTTCAATCACAAACTTTTTTGAACCAGTCGGGGTATTAGGCAAGGCAACCCTATATCTCCTTACATTTTTATTCTGTGCATGGAAATGTTCTCAAGATACATGAACCATCAAGTAGATATCCACAACTGGGATCCCATACAAATAGGTAGGAAGAGCCCTCAATTCTCTCATATTTTTTTTGCGGATGATCTAACATTGATGGCTAAAGCAAACATTTCTTCATGCCAAGCCATTAAAATGGGCCTTAAGTTATTTTGTAACCTTTCCGGCCAGAATGTAAACACTACCAAGTCCAAAATTATCTTCTCAAACAATTATCTCCCTAACATTAAAAAGGATATCTCTTCTAGCCTGGGTCTTAAAAAGAGCAACACTTTTGGAACCTATTTAGGTTTCCCAATCCTTACTAAAACTCCAAAACCTAGTGATTATCTCTTCATTCTAGACAAAATGAGGGCCAGATTGGCAAACTGGAAGACTAGGCTTATAAACATAGCTGGAAGAACTACCCCAGCCCATGCTTGCCTTAATTCAATCCCTAACCACTACATGCGACCCTCCTCCCTTCAAAAACCTTAAAAAATATTGATAAGCTTCAAAGAGACTTCATATGGGGAACTACAACTGAAAAGAAAAAGCTTCACCTAATTAAGTGGTCTACAATATGCCAACCAAAACCCAATGGAGGCCTAGGCATTAAGGATGCAAAAACTAAAAATCTAAGAGCCCGTTTGGATGGCTTGTATTAAGTAACTTTTAAGCCAAAATAGCTTTTAAGCCATAAGTTAGGAATTCTAGCTTTTTGCTTTTGGCTTGTTTTTATCATTTTAGCTTGAAAACAAGTGCTTAAAAGCACTTTTTTACTTTACCCAAACACTATAAAATGGCTTAAAAGCGATTTTGGCTTAAAAGCACTTAAAACAAGCCAATCCAAACGGGCTCTAAGTCTGCTAGCCAGCTTAGCATGGAGACTTCTCTCAAACACTACAACTTCATGGGCTAGCCTTATCACCTCCACCTATGGCACTAGTGAAGCTATTAATAACCACTCTTTCGTTTGGCAAAGTATTTTAAAAAGATGGGGAATTTGCAAAAAAGGTATTACTTGGTCTCCATACCAAAACCCTAATATGAATATCTGGTCCACAAAATGGATTCCAAATACAACAAACTTGCTTAGCCTAATCGAGGGTTCCCTCTCAATTGATGACCAAAACCTAAAAATCAGAGATATCCAAAATGATCACAATTGGAACTTCTCAAAACTCTCTATAGTTTTGCCGGAGGATGTCAGGCAACATATCTCTAAGGTTAGGGTTCGTACCAATGGCCCAAAATGGGATATTCCCATCTGGTCGAAAACCAACAAAGGCACCTTTACCACCAAATCTTGCTATGACTTAATTGAGCCTTGTAAAGTAAATAACTTTGATTTCAATTGGATATGGAAACACAAGTGCCCAAACAAAATAAAATTTTTCCTCTGGCAATGCCTCCACAATAGGCTACCATGCAGAGCCTATCTAGCACACATTAATATGAACATTGATCCTATGTGCCCAATATGTAAGACGGAAGATGAATTTATAATGCATATCTTTTTCAATTGTAAAACTTCCAAATTTTTTTGGGAAAATGTAGGATGGCAGTTAAATTATAAAGCGAATGACAAGCACTGGCTCTTTCAAGTAAGAGACCTAAACCCAAATCTTAGAAATAATTTTACAGACCGGAGCACCCTCTTTCCCTTTATACTATGGAACACTTGGATAAATAGAAATAACAATAACCAAAACAATACCTCCAACAATATCAATATGAATTTCATCATGCAAAGATCAATAGAATACAAACTCCTAGTAGAAAATGTTCACAACCCTTTAAAGAAAAGGACCATAAATGTAAGATGGCATAAGCCTCCAAAAGGATGGTACAAACTAAACATAGATGCAAGTTACAACAAAAGCAAAAAGAGTGGCCTAGGAGGGGTTTTCAGAAACACAAGTGGAAGTTGGATTGTGGGCTTCACAAAAGCCACTTATACAAATGGAGCACTGAAATCTGAACTCCTAGCACTATTTGAAGGGCTCCAAACTGCCCAGGAATGAAATTTGTTTCCTCTCAAGATTGAGACTGACTGCACTGAGGTAATCCAATGCATAAATCAAGGAAATTATATTTTTAATGACATTGTATATGCATGCAGATCGTTAATGCACCGGGAGAAGGACGTGATCCTTAGGCACATCCTCAGGCAGGGGAATGAAGTGGCACACCTGCTAGCAAAAAATACAGAGGCTCAAACAAGGATGAAAAAAATATTACGTTCAACCTCCTGTTTTTGTGGAATCGTGTGTGAGGAGGGATCAAACTGAACAAGTAGTTTTTGTGAAACACTTAAATATTGATGCATGTAATAGTCTAGTAAGCTTTGGTAACAAATGTGTCTTAAGCGACACGAACAATGATTGTGATATTTTGAACCCTATCTAGCTATAATATATGTATCTTTCCTTTGCTAAAAAAAGGCAGAGACTTGCATTAAGTAGGCCAAACAATTGGACCAGAAATGTCCTTAGTCTTATCTACATTATGTAAAAGCCCATAAAGAACTTGGGCCTAAAAGGCCTGTAGACCCAATAGAAGGAAACCCAACTCTAAATCCCAACGGCTAGTTATTATAGCATGCTTCTAACGGTCGCATTTTGTTGCGCCCATTCTCCAACCATTATTCCACTACTCCTATAAAAATACTCTTATCTCTTTCCACCATTTGAGTCCTTTAATTTCTCTTAATCTGAATACAGCCAGCGCATTAGGAAAGCCAATAATCAGCCATTTTTCTAATGATGGAGACTCCATCATCAACAAGAAGAGTAACAAGATCACAAGTCCTTTCCGCTTCCAATAGTAATGAGGATTCAGGTTTTTATAGCAAAATTTCTTTAACTTTTTTGTGCCTATACTAATACTATCTTTTTTGTTCAGAGATGAATAAAGAATCTGAAAACAAAGAAGTGACCAAATCAAGATCAGCTCTCATTGATTTAACAAATTCACCCATTGTTGGGCTAGCAAGTGGGATTTTAGAGACCCCATCATCTGCATTGTCCAGGAGTACTAAAGGAAGGAAGTGTTGTACTCCAGGGTCAGGGGAGGCAATATTGAGGTGTCAAGTGAAGAACTTGTTACAAATGGTTGAGGAAGAAGCTGAAATCTCATTGGCAAAAAGGCAGCCTCTTTTTCATGTAAAAGGTGTTGTTATTGCTCCTGCAAATACACCACTTATGGATCTACCTGGTAATGAGATGCTGCCACCTGTCACTGCATCTCCTGTACACGACAACTTTGTCATCTCTCAGGTATATTATATCAATTTTCACAAGAGTTTAGCTTCTTGATTGATATAATGTGAAAGATAACTACAACGATTTATCTATAATATTAGAATTTGTAACCTCGAAATAAGATAAGCAACCTGCTACAACAAGTTAAAATTAAATCAAGTGTAAGGATTCTCTGCAATCAATATCTATAAGTTAAATAAATGCGAGTCAACAAATAAGTTACTCACAAAATTATTCATAACATTTTGTTTTACTTGATACTATTATGGAGTATGATATAGTAGTCATATCATTTTCTGACTACTATCTTTTTATACTATATTTTGAAGTTCTCAATTTATTTATAAGACATTTTTTTAATGTAATTTCAAAATATAAAAAAAATCAATGTCCAAAATGGTATAGAAACTAAATGATGTGACCCCATGTAGGAAAAAAGGGAGGTTTATCTTCATTTGTTTTCTTCTTTGGATTGGTGTTTGATATGAGATATTAAAGATTTTGAATTGTTTGTATATATTATATGTTAGATAATGAATGAGATGTTTGAAGTGAAGAAAGAAGAGAGTAGTAGTAATATTACAAGATCTCTACTGTTGGATTTTACTGAAAAGTCAGAAGAAGATGATGAAGGAGTAGTTGATGAGCTATGTGAAGCAATTAGCAAGATCAATGTTAATGAAGGAGAAAGAAGAATGGAAAAAAAAGTTGGAAAGCACACTCGGTTTGTGTACAACAGTGATGATGAGTTTGAAGGAGTGGAAGAGTGTGTTGAATTTGCAGGATTGTCTGCTCCTAGAGGAAAGCACTTGCATTTCCCTGAGGATATTGAATGAAAAGCTTTCTTCTTTTTGCTGTTGTGAAGACACCAACACAAACACCTGTGGTGTTTTATTATTTACATTCTGTAACTTCTGTTTGGACCATTGAGAATTTGCTGCTAACTGAAATAATTCAAAAATTATCTCTTTCCAAATCTCTCTCTCTCTCTCATGACAGTTTATCAATATAGTTAATAAATTAATCTAGGTAAGTATCAATTGCAAGAAAAAAATTATGATTTTCCAAATAATAATAGTTTGGTATTTGGATCAGGGTTGGCATGCCACTTTAAGGTGGCACATGGATCAATGTATGATGTGATAGAAGAGAGACCGGATGATTTGTTAAAAATAATAAAAATCAGAGCATGTAAAATATTCTATAACTCTGTGTATAGCAAGATTTAGCATTCGAAATGGAATGGTGAAACAACCAAGCTCACTTAAGCAGATTCTGATGAAGTGGATACGAACAAGTAAATTTTGTGGTAATCATGCTTGAGAAAAGAGCAAAAATATCAAACGAGACAAATTTTAAGCTTTCAGCATTTAGTCCACCTACGACCATAGCAAAAAATATCACAGTAGTAAGTGGAAACCAAAACTTCTTTTTCTTTTCCATAAGTAGAAATCGACTCTTATGGAATATACTTTTTATCTACATCATATGAATTGAACACATATAAGCGTCACTAATAAACAATCAAGATTGACCTTCCTGTATTGGGTGATACCCTTTTTTTGCTTGAGCCCGACCGGGTTGGGTCCGGTCCGGGGCAAGTCGGGGCCATCGAACCCGACCTAGATGCAAGGAAGAACGACGGCCACGTCTACAACCGAGGTCGAGTCATTTCGAGACCGTTGCAGAGCTCGATATGAGTCACCACCGGATGGAGAAACACACAAGGTCGGAAGCCGGACTCGTAACGGATAACCAAGCGTCGCCGGATATCTCGCCCAAACGTGATTTTCTCAACCACTTCAGGCCATTAAGGCGTAATTACAGGGATCCACGATGTAATTAATTTACCTACCTTATTTTTACCCTTAATCAGAATGTATAAAAGGGGAGAAGACCCCATAAAGAGGGGATCGGAAACCATTACACTACAGTACCATCTCTCTAAATTCTTGTACGCTATCAAGCACAATTGTTCTAAGCAATATTATATTCTGCGATTATTTACTTTAACAGCAATTGTTGAGTCTTTATCTTTATTTTCCTCAACCTAAACCTTTTGTATCTTTTAGTTCACGGATCCTTAAAACCCCATATAAATTCAATTGTTATCCGGATTCTAGGATAAACATTACTTTGAGCTAAGTTTCTTAACACGTTATCAGCACGACCACGCTCTCTTTTTCATACACCTCTATATAGGCATGTGTTGTGCACTATCCTTATACCACAATTCTATGGCTATCAAATAAAATAAAAATAGAAGTCTAACAATTGATGGAAGTTGATCGACTGGATGCTAATACAAGCTACGGTTACATTCTTCTAACTCATTCATATTTTATCTTTTACTAATCTCAAAGTTATCTATTTTTTCATGATAACTTTCCTGCCAAGAGGTAACTTACACTATTTATTTTATATTAGACTGCAATGTAAAATGTTGACTTATGTTTGTGTTATACTCAGCCAATTTTTGGATTTGCCTATGTACATGCGTCTGTCTGGGCAGACACTTTTTGGTAATTTATGGAAACTATCCAGTCAAGCGTGGCATTAGAATTAGGAATCTGATTTGCATACCAAAAAAAAAGAAAAAGAAAAAATTGACAGTGTATTAGATTAAATACAAGCAAGTTACGTTGCTAATGTTGTCAAAGATGTTTAAAGGCTCGAAGGTGAATCTAGTATATTTTGGCATATTATATTATTAACTGAGGGTATGACGCTAGGTTCAAGTTCCAGCGCACCATGAGGGTAAGACATCAGATTTGGGTCCTGGTGCACCATGATTATAAGAGTTGGGTTTGAGTCCCACCATATTTTCGCCTAACATACCATTTTGAGGGAAAGATATTGGGTTTGAGTCCCAATGCACCATATTGATGATCTAATGATGAAAATAATTTTTCATGACTGCATGGTGTACGAGGAAAAATAATAATTGTCATCACTATGATAACTATAAAAGGAGAATAATAAAGGTTCTCGAAGTAATCCTTCAAAAGGTGAAGGAAATATTACCATCAAATTGGTATGTAAAATTTAAAAAGCACGTCGCGATAATTATACTCCATTCTTTGAAAAGAATGTGACTTGTGATAAGCATTGTAAATGTAGACTCATTCCTGAAGTGAATGTGAAAAATATATATGTGATACAAATTATGCACAGGAATGTATTTTGCATGGTTGAATAAATACTACAATTCACATCTACAGGAGGTTTGAGAGAAAGAAAGATCATGAACATTATTGTGTGGTTACACGAATATGTCATTGGTCGTGTACATGTGGTACGCCAAAAATATTTTGCCATGCCTTATAAAAGTTATTAAAGGAAAAATTAAAGCAAGAAATAATTTTGCTTATGATGAATTTGACCATGACAATTATTATGATATGATTTTCTCCGTGAAGGAGACATTCACCTTATGGATTGTGTGATAAAAGATCTTGCAGTACAAAATCAATTAAGAGCTACGGAAGAGCTAATTTGTTCATAACATTAATATTGTAGTAAGTCTCAAAAGAAACATTTTGAGTTTCAAATGTATTAGCCAAAGTGGTTGGCATATTGAGACTATAAATGAAAGGAAGATTGAATATCTTCATATTACTATAATCATATCAGGTAAATATAAAAGGTTACCCGATTTTTCTTCTGTTTGTACTACACAAGTATAAGCATGATGATGGAATCACATGCCACAAGTAAACTAGAGGTTTACTGAAATAAAGATTAGTTGGCATGACCGATTGGCCATCCCGGTTCAATTATGATGCGAAAAATGAAGAGAATTTACATTGGCATATATTGAAGAATTAGGAGATTCTTCGAGAATTCTCATGTACGGCTTGTTCTCATGATAAATTGATTACTATACCAGCTGGGGTTGGGATTGTGTTCCCTGATTATATATATATATATATATATATATATATATATATATATATATATATATATATATATATATATATATATATAGGCCCAGTCACCTGCCATGTGGACTGTTTACTATTATATGATTTTAATAGATGCATCTATTCTATGGTCACATGAGCGTTTGTTATCAACTCGCAGTTTGACTTTAGCAAGGTTGATTGCTCAAATAATTAGAGCACAGTTCCAGAATGAAAATTATGATAATTTATCTTGATAATGCTGGTTTAAATACAAGTTGGTTTAGCAGAATTGTATGCCTCCAATTATAGCTAAACCATTGGTTATGAGATGTATTATTTAACATACAGCAGCACTTGTACGCATCTAGCCAAGTTATGATAAATTCTCCCTATCTTAATTGGTTCAGGGTCAGGAACCAAATAATTTCCATCTAGAAATATGGATGTGCTATATGATTTAATTATCCCACCACAATGCATAAAGATGGGTTCCCAAATAAGGTTGGAAAATGTGTTGGTGATCCCAGCATTAGGGGGAGAAAATGGGCAGCTGAAAAAGTAAAACATGGAATGAATTATTGTGAGTGCACCTAGATCCTC